TAGAAATAAATTACTAATAAAAATGTGTTCCGATCAAGGGGCTACTTATATCCGATCAATGTGATTTTTTGTAAATATAAATGGTTGTTTTGACAACATGGATAAAAAGTTAAAAGCCAACGTTTAACCCATTTTGAGTCACATTATCTCTCACATAAAACAATGAAAAAGGTCAAAAAAGTTAAAAAGTTAGCTTTTAACCATCTTCTCAAAACAACCCAAAGTATTCGATAAGTTCTACACATTAGATGATTCCTATGAAGCACGGGTTCTCCAAAAATAGTGTCGTACACGTACCGGGTACTTACTGGGTGCGGGTACGCATATTGGTATGGCTGCATGCGTACCGGGTACGGCAAAAAGGAGTCCGGTACGTTTTGTTCAATCGGGTACGGCTTGGGTACGGCATGGGTACGCCTTTGGTGCGTTTCGGGTACGCCGAGGCAGAAATCAAATTTCCAGGAGAATTGAGGGGTATCGGAGCAATATTAAGAAAAATTTCAGAAAAAAAGAAGAAGGAATATAGACGAATGACCTAGGTTTTGCCCTAATCTCTTCACTTCAGCAACACAGCAGCAAAGAGGCGACCCAGAAGCAAAGAGGCGACCCATCCATTCCCTTCGAAGGCCTCTAGCGACGGCGACGCAAAGAGAGTTCCGATGAGTGCTCTTCATCTTTTTCTTCATCTTCTTCTTCTTCGCTTTCTTCTTCGTCTACATTTTCCACCCTTGTCTTCTTCGTTTCTTCTTCTTCGTCTCATATATTTTTTGTTTTGCAGATCAACAAGCATTTGGTTTTGTCCCTTCTTGCATCTTTTTGTCTTCCCTCTGGTGAGAAATTGGTCAGAATTTTTGGGTGCCACTGCATATCAGCAAACAGCAAGCAACTGGTTAGATTTTGTTTCTTCATCTCCTTGTTTCTTCATCTTTTTTTATTTTTGTTTTTTTCTTGTTTCTTCTTTCTTCTTCAGAGATGTAGAACCTGGTTAGAGAGGTAGAACAAAAAAAAAAAAAAAAAATTAGAGAGGTGGAACCAAGTTATTCAATCATACTTAGAACAAAAAAAAATTAGAACAAAAAAATTAATAATCAATCATACTTACAGAATGTTAATAATTAAAAAAATTAATTAGAACAAAGTTATTCCTCAATAGAAGAATGTTAATCAAAAAAATTAATTAGAAGTTTAGAACAAAGTTATTCCTCAACAGAATGAAAAAAATAAAAAATAAAGTTTAGAAGTTTAACCATAATTATAAAAAATAAAAAATAAAAAAATATCGGCATACCGCAACCGTACCCGCATCATAATTTTTTGGGATTTTGCCGTATCGGCGTACCCGCACTCGTACTCGTACCCGTACCGTACTCGTACCCGCACCCGTGCTTCGTAGTTTGCTTGTATGTGTGGCATTGATCCACCAAGTCAACAACAACCTCCTGCCTAATCCCCTGCAAAGTGAAAATATGATAATTCAACGCAAAGTTAGGCTACCAAATTTAAGAATGTAATGTGTAAAAAATTTGCGAGAAAAGAATAATCGGTCCAAGACATTGGTGTGTTTGGTTTGTGTTTTGAGATAAATTTTCCAACAAAAATTTTTGGGAAGAAAGTTTAGAAATTTTTTTGGTTTGTTTGGCTGTATATTTTGAAAATAGTTTTGGAATTTGAGAGTTTGGGATGATATGATATTTTGTTGTAGTTGAGTAGGTGTGTGTGAAAGAAAAAGTGATTAAGAAGGAGAGAGGAGAGAGAAAAAATGATTTTGGAACCAAACAAAAATTTGGAATTTTTTTTTAAAAATTGTGTTTTGAGAGTTAAACCAAACAAGCATTAGCTCAGTATGTTGGATGTCTTACATAGAACTGCATCATTAACGTAACACTACACCAGAATCTTCAACCAGAGAAAAAGAGATGACAAAAAATTAGGCCTTACAGCTTATAGATTGGGAAAATACCTCTTTGTTCCCCGGATCTATTGCATTCAGCATTTCTGAAAGAACATCCATAATACCTCGTGCATTCTGAATTTCTGTCAAGCTAGCAAAAAAAAAAAAAAATCCATTAATGACATAACCGCAAGTAATAATAATCAACTCAGTAGAAGATGCAAAAGAGTTTTATTGCAAATTAGCACATTTAGTTTGTGCTGATTCAAATCCTCTTTCCTATAATCAATGAAGAGCAGAGAAATTAGTTTGTTAGGGCAAAATTGCAACCATAAAATAGAAACAACAAAGTGACTTGTATAAATTAGGGCCGCAAACAAACCAAGTTGTTCACGAACAGCTCAAGTTTGAACCAACAATGGACTGGGTTATAAGCAATTGTAAAGCTAGTATTTGGGTGGCAATAAGTGTTGGTTTAAGCTAGTGTTGGTTGCTCATCAACAATTTGCTTTGTTCCCCTTTTTCTTTTTTTCTTTTTCATCCTTATTGATATAATCTCACATGTAATGTAATGTATGTTTTCTTCATCAATAAAGATTTTCTTTGTTGATCAAAAAAATGTTGAATCATAAGTGTTCACATCATTGAAGGTGACACAAAAAATCGCCCATGGTATTGACATGGCCATGCAACAAAGTTATCCAAATCATCTATTTGTGTGGAATTCATGCAGAATTTACACAAATAAATAATTTGGATGGCTTTGAGGCAATGTCACATATATTTTTTTCTACAAAATCATAGCAAACTGCCTCTTCTGTATACGCAACTGATTAAAGGATCATTCTCAGTGTTAAGCTCATTTTTATATTTTTCATACCTTTTCATATTCCTCTCGGAAATCTTAACATAGACACGGATTGATAATTCAAACCATCTATTTCGTATGTCTCACAGTAAATATTGTTTATGTAAAGTATAAATTTTATCAAATAATTATAACATAAAGTCATATTTTATTTTATAAAATGAATAGTTTAAGTTTACAATCATATTTATCGTTCATTTATAAAACAAAATGTGATTTATTTCTATATTTATAGTTGTTTGATGAAATTAATTTATTTCATAAATGACTTTTATTGTGAAACCTACAAGATAGACCGTTCAAATTATCGATGTGAGTCTGAATTGAGATCCACAAAAAAAATACAAAAAGATATAAAAATAAAATAAAATAAAATATAGAGAAGAGCTCATTTCTACCCGCAAACCCAGTCTAATTTCAACCTCCTTATCATACATTAGTCTACAAAATTATTATTCATATGTAATACCGTGTGGATTTGGGAATCAAAATTTCCTTCATATTAGCATTACTAATAGATACAATTTACAATCGCAAGAAAAAGGGAAAAAAAAAAAAAAAACCCATAATATCATAATATGGCTAGCTCGTTTGGCCATAATATTTGAAGCTCAGTTGTTCAAATCTTTCTATCTATGTTTGAATCAATTATATGTTGTATTTAATTTTTATTATTACACTACAAGAAATAACACTTTTCCCAACCAAAAAATTGGTCGCTAAAAGCCCATTTTTAGTCAGCAAAGGTTATCCGCGACCAATTTTTTTGGTCGCTACTTTGGTCGCCAATTGAGGATCGGCAAAAGTAATTCGCGACCAAAATTTTGGTTGATCGGCAAAAGTTGGATTTGCCGACTAAATTTTTGGTCGCTAAATATGTCATTACTGCGACTAATCCATTTTGTCGCTAAAACACTTTGGTCGCGAAAAATGATATTTTCCCGATCAAATATCTTAGTCGCCAATTGTCACATTCCACGACCAAAAAGTTTAGTCACCAATTATCACATTCAATGACCAAAAAGTTTGGTCGCTAATTGCGACATTCTACGACCAAAAATTTTGGTTGCCAATTGTCACATTCCACAACCAAAATAATTAGTCGCCAATTGTCACATTTCACGACCAAAAATGTTTGTCGCCGAAAGAAATATTTGCGCAACTAAAACTTTAGCAGGCAATAGACCTATTCGCGATCAAATCCTTTAGTTACCAAAATTAATAATTTTAACGACTAATTATTTAGTCGCCAAATGCGCTTAGTGATACACCAACTACTTTATTTAGTCGGCAAAAGTATAACTTATCTTTCCCGAGTAATCAATTGGTCGCCAAAACTAAAAAAATAAAACTAAAATTTGATCGCCAACATCCAATAAAATAAACCTATAATTTATAATAATCCATCCAATTTATTCAATATAATCTGTAATTTGCAAAAATCATTCAAACCAACAAATAAATTGAATCATGAACATTCAACAAAATACATATATCAACCATTTATGAACCTATTTAATTAAAGTCAGCAACTATTATAAGTTTTCATCCACAAGTAATTCCAAACTACATATTTCATGTAGCATAAAAATTTAAAACATAACAAGTTGTAGACACCCCATTTTTGACCGTCCTCAAGACTTGGACGTCACCGCTTGAACACCCGGTGATCATCATTGTTTGTGTTTGTCTTGAGTTCCCGGAAGTCTCGGCTACGCGCCTTGCCTCAGGATCTCTCGACTCGACTGTTTTGTGTTTGGTTTTGCACCAAACACTTGTGTTTTGCCCCAAACACTTGTGTTTTGCCTTGGAGGGGCAGGGAATGGCTTGTGGGCCATCCCCACACATCACCGGCCATGGCTTGAGGCCACCGGCTGTGTTTTGTTGCCACCGGCCAAATGTTTGGCCGGCCGGCACTATAGATGGTCGACCGGCCATATTTTTTGGCCAAATTGCATGTTTGGCCGGCCGACCACTGTGCATCTGCTTTTGCAGATATTTTATGCTAGCTGGCATACACTTTGTTCCCCTTCATACACGTGTATGGAGGGATCTCCCTCTTGGCTAGCTTGTCTTGTAAGCTTGCAAGATTGAATCCTCTATAAGAGGAGGCCTCTTCTCCCTCTTTTAGGTTAGACAACTCTTTTTCAGAGCTTTGAGTTCTAGGGTTAGGGTTTGCATATATCCTATCTCTATATCTCTCTCTCTTTGTGTTTTTGTGTGTGTTTTGTCTTACTTTTGTGCACCACCTTCTCTTGGAACTGAGGCACAAGAGGGCTGTTCTTGGTGTTATTGAGTGGTTTTGAGCTCAAGGAAGCTGCTGGTCCACCATTTGTGAAGAGGGTCTTCAAAGGTAACATTCTTGCCCTTTTTACCCCATTTTTACATAGCCTTTTTGACTACCTTTCAACTGTTTTTAGACTTGGTGTATAACATATAAAAGTCTTGTTTTTGCCTACTCTAAATAGTTGTTTAAGAGTACTTTGAGCTTTGGGGCTGTTTGACCCCTCTTAAGCCTTGTTAGGCTCTATTTTTGTGCCATTTTGGTGAGTTCCCGGACCATTGTGTTTGGGCCTCCTCACCACTAAAATCTTGAGGGATTTCAGTGGTGAGGATGGTGCCTTGAGGTCCTAAGAAGGAAAGGTTCACCCCCTCCCCTTGTTGTCCTTGAAAAGGGCCATTTTTGCCTCATGTGTGAGCATCTAATTTAAGTGCATGTTGGCCATGTCTTAAGTGCTATTTGGTAGTATTTTTCCATGTATTACCTCTATTTTTAGTTGGTTTAGACACACCATGCATGCTTAGCATACTTGTCTTGTAATGCCATGTTTTGGCCTAAATATGCTTTAAGTGTTGACCCTTGTTTTAGCATGATTTTGGCCAAGCTTTGTGAAGCTTTTGTGCATGTTTTAGTGTGCTTTAGCTCTGTTTTCAGTTGCCTTGGTCATGCTTAACATATTTTGTATAGTCTCTTTGCATTCTAGCTTGTAGGCCTTGAATGCGTGATGTCATGAGCATGCTTTACTTGCTTTAATTAGTTGGTTTGGCACCTCTATTTTATGAAATTTCAGAGTTTGGTATGCTTGCCATATGCCCATGATCATCTCTTTTAAGTGTGCTTAAAAGTTGCCTTTTGATGCTTAGGAATTGGATCATGTATGTATGCATGCTTGTATGTGCATTTGGCCCCATCTCCATAGTTTATGGCCACTGTTTTAGGCTTGTTTGAAGGCTGCCTAAATTAGTTTAAGTCCATCCTTCGTGTGTTATAGCATGCTTGCCTTGTGCATTGTTGCATACTTGGCCTATCACATGTTATTGCTTGCTTGAAATCATGATGCATTTGGCATGTATTTCATTGGTTAAGTTGCTTTGCATTGTTCCTATGCTTAGTTCACCTTACATGTTGTTGCATGTTTGCCACTAGCATAGTTGTCACATGCCTTGCGTGCTCATTTTGCATACTTAGCCTCCATACCTAGGATGCATTGCATTGGCATGCATGTTTCACCTCTTGAGTTGAGTATGATAGAGGTGGAGCCCCGAAACCAGTTAGTAATCATGTGCATGATCCTAGTTCATGTTAAGATGGCTAATGCAACACATGCAAAATGCAACTAAGATAGGCTCGGCTAATCTAAGGATGACATGTGAAAATGCACAGATAGCATGTATTCAAGTTAGATATGAAATACTTTATGCAGTTAGCATGATGCGCCGAGCCTGGTGCATGCAAGACTAATGAATGATGCACGCATGCATAGCATAAAGTATGCTAAAGTAAACATGTCCTAAACTAACCATCAAAAGCAGGTAAGTAAAAGGGAGAAAGAAGTGGGGGTTGGAAGACATGCACACACGCACCCACACTTATTACAAATTTACCCTCGCTCGGAGGGACCGAAAGAATAATACAAATTAATTAACCTACAAGCTAATTAAATATTACAGACCAGTTAATTAATTAATAAATTAACTAATCTGATAAAAGCAGTAAACAGCCTCGGGAAGAGGGCCCAATGCAATGCGCGCTCGGCTCCGCTAGGAAAGCCATTGCCATGCACAAGTTGCCTCTGCTTTGACTGTTATCCATCTTTGAAGACGTAAAAATCTCAGGGTTGCTTCCTGAATGCTGTGGAACACCACCGGCTGAGGGAATGGTCACGGGTCATGAATGGTCACCGGCCACAAATTAATCCATCGGCCTCTTATGTATAGCCGGTCGGCACTGTAGATGGCCGGCCGGCCAAATCTTCCTGCAGAATCTGTTGTTGACAGCAGCAGAGGGAAAAACATAGCATGGCAATGCATTTCAAGCAATGTATGCACCAAACACCCCTTATCATATTTATGACTCAAAGGGATATGATTCTCAATTCTTGGACCACAATCGCACATTTCAATGCGTGATGGCCTAAGAAACCAAGTATGCATTTCGATATGGGATGCAATGCACATAATCAAACAAT